ACCACAAGTTGGGAAGAGGACTTACTTTCTACCCTACAGTCCCTTTCCCGCAGATGCAACTTTACATGCCTATCACTACTTCCATGGCCAAAGTTCATATAAATGCTATTATTTAGAGTCACCAGTTCAGACCTTTACAGCCAAGGCCCCCCTTGCTATATCTACTTGATTGAATCAACTTCATTCCCCATGTATTCCTTTGGTAAGAAGGACATTCCACTTTAAAAGCTTCTATCCAAGGAACCCTTCTTTGTACAATGGACTCTGTTCTGTCTCCCCAGTATGCATCCATCTGACACACAAGTGTACCTGAAGACAGACAAGATATTATACTCCTTTCAATTAGATTTCTTTCTGATTCATTCTGCATGATGATCAGATGTAAACACAATGAAATCAGAGAGCAAAGTAAAAAATTCATTTTCTGTGCATAGGCTCTTAGCATCACATCCAGTCCACAAAGCAAGTCCCTGCAATGAAAGCAACAATGGCCAACTGTGAACATTCCCGCCAGAAAAGGAGATGCTCTGGAGACTGCCAGGTCTGCTTAAAACAGGCTGCCCATAATGATCAGAAGCAGTTGCAGCCTATCAGGCCACCTGCCAGCACGCAAATTGCTACTCCAGTCACGCCATGCTTGCTCCTCTCAACATGACTGTTACCATTCCCAGACTTGACTAAACCAGTAAAATAAAATCTCAACATTGACATCACTCAGTTACAAACCTTCTGCATTGGCAACGCTGTCACCTAGGCAAACCCAACTCACTACAGTGGCCAACTATCCAGCCTCAACACCACCAGGTTCCAGATGCCAACCATTATGATTGATAATATCTCAACGTCAACACCACCCAGCTATAATCCTTCAGCTCATCACATCAGCAAATCCAACAAGGAACTCTGACTCCACAAGGCAAAGCAAGGGACTCAGATTCCACAAATGACCCCATTTGATACAACACAAGCTTACCAGCTACACCAATAGACATCACCTCAGCAACCAAAGAACCCTATCATGAATTGACCCACTACTGTCACCTCAATCAACCAACATATGCGTCCACAAGTATGGGGTTCATTTCATAGAAATACAGGCCTACCAGCTTGACCAATCAGACTTAGACTCCACAAGCAACCCCATTTTGTACAACACAAGCCTAACAGCCACACCATTAGACATCACCTTGGCAATCAAAGCACCCTGCCCCAAATAGACCAACCACTGTCACCTTGACCAACCACAAGCATCGGGCCCCAAATACAGGCCTACCAACTACTCCAATCCCACATTAGCTAAGCGACCAATGCACGTTACCACAAATTGACCCACCACCATGACCTCGATCTGACTAACACATGCGTCAGACCCAACCAAAATCTATATCCTGTGACCTCGGTCAAACCAACACAAGACATCGGTCAACTCCCGGTGCTACCCAAACAGCTAATTGCCATCTGGACAATTAGCAACTGAAATTGATATTTCACCAATTTTCCAACAATTCTGTAAGATATCTTATATATTAAACAAATACACGTTGTTCAAAAACCTAATCCTCATTATTGCTTTCCTTTTGATACCGAACGCTTATTATAACACAGATAAACACCTGTAAGCAATTAAAACTCTGAAGACAAAGTGTCATGTCCATCAAGAAATGCATAAATAAAAAAAAATCATTATACTGTCATGGTCATGTGACCATAAAAATTAAATAAAAATGAATAGTGTCAAAAATAATTATAATAAAATAATTATTATAATTATCATTAATTCACTCATTCTAAACCAATGAGAATTGACCCTACTTTTCTCCACTACACACACAAACACATAACATTCTCACTATCGGACAAGCTGTTCACACAGACAGATCCTCAACATGTGCATCAACAAAAATTTCATCTCATTTTCCTTTTTTGGGCCATAATAGTAACATTTATCTTTTAGCACTAAACAAAAATTTGAGGTAAGAAAACCCCAGACACTTTTGAATTTTCTAAATTATTTGGACACTCATTATGCACATCTATAAGAAAACATATGAGAAAGACTGTTTATACTTTACTTATTCTTTATTTTATTCATTCTGTCAGATTTTGAACAATGTTTGATCTACATTTGACTCCAAACTCACAAGTTTAGTCAGTATTGCTGTCTCTCATTTCTCTAACATCGCATAACAACCAGATAATAAGTAATAATCATTTTGCTGTTTCCATGTCTTTTGTTGTTTCTGATTTTTATGAGTATTTTTGTATATGCAAATATTAAAGATTTTATAATTATTTACTCAGAGTCGTAACTAAAAAGCCAAAAGGGTAAAAATAGAAAAAGAAATAAATAAATAAAAACTTGAGATTAGTTCAGCCTGATTCTTAAGGCACGGGGTCACCCTGAGGTGACAAACGTTCATTGTGACTGGCACTTGTTTTAGCCACAGGTACATCTGCATCTTTTTTTCTTGTTCTGAGTGATTGTGGTCTCTTCAGGTCCATTGAGTGTCACCAGAGATCTGTCCTTGAAAATTACTTCTGAAAAGTCAATTTTCATGTTTTACTTGGCCCAATTTTGACACTTTAAAATATTTGCTTTACTGAGAGCAATTTGCCTTGGAGATTTCTTGACAGATGCCAATTTGCAAAGCATTCTGTATTATTTTCTATTCGAGCAGGTTCAAAGATCTGAGCACTGGTCAAAAGTGATTTTTTCCCTATAACTTACTTTAGTTTATGTTCAAGGAGACAAGATCTTAAAGTCTTTTCCTTTGCTTCCAGTTCTCAACTTATTTATATTTTCAACAGTTTTCTTTATCATTTGATGATCTCTCCAAAACTCCTTTGATATTTCCAATGTGGACATTCCCTCACTCAATAACTTTGTTATTTTCTGCATTTTTTAGATCTATGTTATCCATGTTTCAAGATACATTATGCAAAAAAGAAGAAAAAATAGTTTTTATTATATTTCACAGGCCTTATTTGTTTTATCTGCATAATAACATCAGACAACAGTTTTTATAATAAATCCAAGAACTTTAATAAAACATTTTGAAACTATCTGAAAATTTAACACAAGATTTGTTTTGATATCTAAATTAACCATTTAAAATTTGGCAAAAATTGTTCAAAGCAAATTCAAGTTATTAAGGTTTATGTGATTTGCATAATAACTTCAGACAAATGGTATATATAAATTTCACTTGAGGCCTGGGTTAACTTATTTGTTTTGTTTTTTATGTCTTATCAACCTTTTGCAGTTTATTTAAAGACTGAAAATGTTTTAGATTGTTAGAATTTTCTGGAGATGATAATCGTTTACTTATACAAGTCCTACTAATTAACTCATAGTGAGGTGAATTCATAACTTTCCAAAGCATGTAAGTGAATATAACAAATGTGACTGGAATTGGAACTCAGCTCACAATTCCAAGCCATTATCCATTTACATCACTCACACATCTAAGTTTACAGCACTTGATACAGTGGTTACCCATCTAGATACTGACCAGGCTCAATGCTTCTTAATTTTGGTGATCATATGAGAACTGGTGTTTGAATATCATATGTCCATAAACCTCTTACCATATTGAATGTTTCAGTTTTAAATAACACAAAAAGGGTTGATAGGTCATAAAAAAAAAAACACATATTTTGATTTAGTTTGAAATAAGTCATTGGTATCAAACATTTCCCTTCTACTCAGTTCGGACAACCCTTGTCAAGGGATAGGTAATAATATTATAAAGTTGGAGATAAAAAATACATGAATTTTTTAAAACCCTTTTGGGAGTCAAAAAAGTAATAGATAAGGGCCTTAATTTCAGTGATTTTTATGCACATCAGTGTTTCCACGTGATATGATCATAAGCTCTTGAGGTCTGGGGTGAACATGAATCCCAATTGATGTTCCAAGTAAGTAGCCTCTTTGAGAGTGAAATCATTCATCATGACTGATGAGGATTTAGGGTCAAATTGAAAAGTAATAGCTTGGGTTTTGTGGTATTTAAAGTTACAAACCAGTTGCCCCCCCCCCACCTATTGGGTTGTTAGAGCTAGATCAAAAGATTAATCTGTGGCCAGGCTCTGATCATCAAGATTTTGAAGGTAACCAGTCTAGAAAAAATTGAATACAATATGGGAACCTGTAATAAGGAGTGTCAGAGAAAAGTGATAAAAACAACAAAAATTGCAATATGAGCTCTGGTAAAAACATTGAATGATAACAGCAAAAATTGCAACATGAGCACTGGTAAAAATGTTTGCTGATGACATTAGGTTTATAATATCCAGAAATTCATACACAGATGTCTTTAAGGAAACATGACACAGTGGATAAAGGCATTGGTTAGATCCAGTGACAGGACCAATACTTGGTTAAGCCACTGGAGAACTTGGAGAGGGGAATTAACAGGAGATAACTGATAACTTATGTCCATTAAACATAGCATATGGAACTAGAATGGAACTAGATCAGTCTACTCCAGTGAGCAAAATAAAGGGTTCAGTTCAACATTGTGATAGATGTGGCGACAATGTAATATGATGTAATAGTGTACATAATACCTCATCTCAAAAATATCGACAGATACTGAAAGGCCAAAACATTGTGATAAATATGGCAACAAAGATGAGGACAATAGTCCGAATAATGTAAATAGTGTACATAATACCTCATCTCAGAAATATAGACAGATATGGAAAGGCAGAATCGTTGTAATAAATATGGCGACATAGATGAGGACAATAGTCCGAATAATGTAAATAGTGTACATAATACCTCATCTGAGAAATATAGACAGATGCTAAAGGGGCGAAACGTAATAAATATAGTGACAAATATAGGGACAATAGTCCAAATAATGTAAATAGTGTACATAATACCTCATCTCAGAAATATAGACAGATACTAGAAAGAATTGTTTGAATTTAAAACTGTGAAGATGACAACAGGAATCCACTCCTTTGTATTTCCCAACTTGTCTCCAGTCACTTTCTCAAGAAGAGGAAAGAAGAGAGTAAAAGAGAGTTTTGAGAGATTGTGAGGGAGTATGAAGAATATTAAGTGAGAGATATGAAAGATACAGAGAAAGAAGAGAGTGAAAGAAGGAAGAGTATGCTGAGAGAGGAAGATGCAATAAGAGATGTTGAAGAAAGGTGCTAAACGAAAATAGAGGAAAGAAGAGAATGAAAAAGGAGGAAGGGTCTGCTGAGAGATTGAAGGAGGGAGTATAAGAGATACAGTGGTTTCTCTCTGCCAGTTCTACAATTATTTTCAAGGTAACTGCTCAGATGAGCTTTTTTTCCTGATGCCCCAACTACATATTGGTAATTAGGTATCACTGTTTTACTGTTGAACTAGCTAGATGCAACCATTTTTTTTTTCTTGCACTTCCTACCTGTGGAACTTCTTTCTGATTTCTTGCTTCCCTGACAAGTAACTGGTGTTTCATTAAGACGGATCAAAGTCAGCAGTAAATAATTCAGTGCTATTGGTAAAAAATTATTTATTTCTCTATTGGATCATATTATTTATGTCATGGCAATTATGGATGAAAAATAATATCACCCAAATGTCTCCCAAATCTGAAAGAAAAAGAAAAAAATAATTAGATGCTTAAACTTAATTCACATTAAAATCAGTCCAAGTTATTGGAACACCCTTTACAATCTTCAAAAATTTAAATAGAACGTCAATTGCCATCTTCATTCACTTTCACTCCCTGTAGGCCTCTGCATTCTAGTGGTATTGTTGCCTTGCTTGGGGTGAAATGATTTTAAAAAAAACTCTTGGCTGATGTCAAAAAATAGTTTCTGTGAAAACTATCACCACCTAAATCTAGAAAGAAAATGGTATTAAAAAAATCCGTGACACAACCTTTTTTCAAACCTCACCTTCAGAATCTTGTGATCCATTTAAACGATCTAAGAAATTAATAATTACCCTGACGCATTAGTGTACAGAAACAAAAAAGAAAAAAATAAGACAGCTTTTATAAATTGGTTTCCCAAGTTCATTTGGATGTAAAAGAGGTTAGGACAAAATAATGGCAAGAATTGATGGAATTATTAATGGTGTTTCATGTGAAAACTATCAAACCTCTAAGTGTTATGATGGGCAGTTTGCCCGCTGGTCATGTCCGGGGTTTATAATAGCAATAAATGCTTGAGCGTGTACAGTGACCAAGGTCAGAAGGGGGTACATGTCAGTCAAGCAGTTGGTACAAGACGTAGGCGACTCATGGCATGTTGGCCATAGTCCAGCAGAAATGCAGGGATAATGAGATCAGAGAAAAAAGAAAAGAGTAAGCGAATGATAAAAAGTTGAATATGAGAGACAGAGAGAGAGAGAGAGAAAGAGAGAAAGAGAGAGACAAAGAGAGAGATCATTGAATTAAATAAGAAGAAGAACAAAGATGAAAATTTGAGAAGAGAAACTGGGTAGAAAAAAGTGACAAAAAGGGTAGGGTTTGGAAGAGGATAGAGAATGAGAGAGGAAAGAAGAGAGTGAAAGAGAGAAGGGCATGCTGAGAGATTGAGGGAGCAACTATAAAAAAAATTCAGTGAGAGATGTGGGAGAAAGATGCTGAGAGAAAAGAGAGGAAGGAAGAGAGTAAAAGAGAGTTTTGAGAGATTGTGAGGGAGTATGGAAAATATTGAGAGATATGGGAGAAAGAAGATGCAGAGAAAGAAGAGTGTGAAAGAGAGAAGGGCATGTTGAGAGAGGAAGATGCAGTCAGAGATGTTGAAGAAAGGAGCTAAAAGAAAATAGAGGAAAGAAGAGAGTGAAAAAGGGAGGGGTATGTGGAGAGATTGAATGAGGGAGTATGAGAGATGCAGTTAGAGATGTAGGGGGAAAAAAAAAACGTAAAAGAAAGATGTGTATGTTAAGAGTTTGACAGAGGGAGTATGAGGGAGAATGATGTTGAGAGAGAAGAGAGAAAAAGATTAAGTGCAGAAAAAAGTTAGAGGCTTGAAGGAGATAATGAGAATAGGAAAGAGAGAGAACATTTTTATCTCCTATGTTTAAAGAGAGAGAAAACAAATCAATACAAAGTTTCTGAGAGTGAATGAGAATGCTGAAAGAATTAACACAAGCATTACTGATAGAATAAAGCAATTATATACGTCTAATTACTTTCTAGCAATATCCTACAACAGCAGTGTATTGTTAATGATTTTGTATTTTAGAAATAAATTGCAAATGAGGAAAAAGTAGATTGTCAGTGGTCAGGAATCCAAGCAAGCATTGTTAACAGAATAAGCCAATTGTGTAATTTATTTCTACTTTTGTTAAGCTGACTTTTCTTGATTCTTTAAACCCTACTTTCACTTTTCTTTCTTCCTTTGAAAACTTTAAATTCAAACAGGAAAAGAGACATTTAAGAAAGATGTTGCAAAAGATAACAGGCATTGATTCTAATAGAAATCTTCCAATATTTTAATGTTTCTTTAACAACAAGAAATGTTGAACATTGTTTGCTTTGTTAGGATTCATGTGTTTAGCACAAAAACAATTTTAGCATTAAATGAACCATATTGGGTTCAAATGTCAGAATATTAATCAGTCGATCGACTTGCTCTGAAATGGATCAAGCAGATACTACACTCTGATCTTATATAACCTAATGATTATACTGACAAAAAAATAGAATAGTGTTACAGATTCTTGGTCTGAAAATGTAGTTGATTCCAATTAAGAAGGGTCGGGGATCAGGCAGATACTACACTCTGATCATTAGTAGGTAAGCCTAATGGTCATATATATCAGAATGTTAATTAATAGTGCAGATTCTTGGTTTCAAAATGTAGTGAATTCTAATTTATAAGGGTTAGGGATCTGGCATATACTACACTTTGATCTTACATAAAAAAATCTAATGGTTTTACATAAGAACAAACAGAACAATGTTATAGTTTCTCGGTTTGAAAATGCAACTGATTCTAATTTAAAATGGGCAACAATCTGGCAGAGACTACATGTAATTGATTCTAGTTAAAGAGTATCGGGGCTCAGGTAGACACTCCATGTAATTGATTCTAGTTGGGTATCGGGGTCAGGTAGACACTCCATGTAATTGATTCTAGTTAAAGAGTATCAGGGCTCAGGTAGACACTCCATGTAATTGATTCTAGTTGAGTATCAATGTCAGATAGACACTACATGTAATTGATTCTAGTTAAAGAGTATCGGGAATCGGGTAGACACTCCATTTAATTGATTCTAGTTAAAGAGTATCGGGGTCAGGTAGACATTACATGTAATTGATTCTAGTTAAAGAGTATCGAGGCTCAGGTAGACACTCCATGTAATTGATTGTAGTTAAAGAGGATTGGGTCTCAGGTAGACACTCCATGTAATTGATTCTAGTTAAAGAGTATCAGGTCTCAGGTAGACACTATATGTAATTGATTCTAGTTAAAGAGTATTGGGTCTCAGGTAGACACTACATCCTGTTCTTAGATGGAAAAGAATAATAGTCATGTATACAAATGATAAGGTAACAATATAGCAGATTTGTAATCTAGTAAAATCAGATACTGTCCATAAAAATATTATTATTGATACTGAGAGTATCATGGCAACCAATTCTGAAGAAACGGAGCTATTGCTGATCTGATAATTTGAAATTGTGTTCACTCTGTGTGAATTTGTTTTGCTTTCAATGTTTTCAGTTATTACAAGGATATATTTGGGGATATTGATTTTTTTTTATCTCTGTCTTTCTCTGCTGCACCTCCCCACTCACTGTGATTGTTTTCCTGGGAGACTAATTTTTCTTTTGTGTGTGTTTAGGTTTGTGTGTTTTTAATTCTCTTATTGTGGGCTATCTTCTTGGAGATTTTTGTTACTCTTGCATTTTAAGAATAAAAAATTAAAAGAATTGAAATTAAAAAATGAAGTATTGAAGGAAAACCAATCTGAAGACTGGGAAGTGGTGTGATGGAGACAGAAAGAACGTATAAAAAAAGAAGAGGAAAACAAAGAAAGAAGGCAGGAAAAGAAGAGGAAGAAAAACAAAGAAAGACAGAAAAAGAAGAGGAAGACAAAGAAAGAACGTATAGAAAAAGAAGAGGAAAACAAAGAAAGAAGACAGAAAAAGAAGAGGAAAACAAAGAAAGAAAAAAGGAAAAGAATAAGGAGTTAAGTAAAAACAATGGATGAAGAAGAAAAGCAGGAAAAAATGTGGGATATATGAAAATGTGAAAAAAATAGAAATTGAAAATAAAGATAATATATTCTAGAAAAGGAAGAGGAAAAAAAATTGAAAGAAATAAAAGGAAAAGCAAATAGCATTGAATAATAAAAATAATAATAACAACCACCTCCACCATTACCTCCAACACCATTGCTATGACCACCACCACTGCCACAATAAAAACAAGAAAAATAAATAAATAAAATTAAATAAAAGTATAAAACATGAAGGAATCGATGAAATAGTAGGGTAGACTGGACTCTCTTGTCTTGAGTAGGCAACCAGTATGGAAGAAGAAAAACTAAGGAGTTAACTGAAAACAATGGATGAAGAAGAAGAAGAAAAGAAAGCAGAAAAAAGGAGGGATATACAAAAGTCTGAAAAGAAGAGAAACTGAAAAAAAAAACGAAAAATTGAAGAAGAAGAGAAGAAGAAAAAATTAAAAGAAAAAGCAAATAGCACTGACTAATAATAATAATAATCCACAACTTTCTGTCCCCTGTAGCTCTAAGCAACACTTGATTCTTGACCATCATTCTTATCCCTGTTGTGTGATCCATTCATACAAGCTCATGTGTGATAATGGCTCTCCACAACTTCCTGTCCCTTGTAGCTCTGAGCAACACTTGATTCTTTATTATCCCTCTTTATCCCTATAGTGCCATCCATTCATACGAGTTCATGAGCAATAATAGCTCTCCACAGCTTCCTGTCCCTTGTAGCCCTAAGCAACATTTAACTGTTTATCTTCCCTCTTTATCACTGCAATGCCATCCATTCATACAAACTCATTATATAAATTACTTATTGTTTCTCTCTACACTTCCTTTTCTCAATATATCCAGTGAGTTTTAAATTTTCCAAGCTGTCCTTCCTTATAATGGTAACAGTAATGTTAATATTAGCAGTCTCCTTACAAGGAAACATTCAGCATTCTCCGAGCGAACAATGCTGTTTTCTGTTGAAATTTATAAACTCTGTCTCTTAAAACAATTTTTCTGGTGTATAGGTTTCTCAAGTCCAGTAGCTGCTATCACTCTTTCCTGTATTGATGAGGATTTCCTTCCTAACGTTTTGTTTGAATTAGTGTGGAATGTCATCATCTTGATTATATCATTACTTTCTATTTGAGTCACCTGTGAAATCCATTTTAGTTATTGCTGCTTGTGAATGTGTCCCAGAAATTTCAACTGTCACTTTCTGAATTCTAAGACTGAATATCTTTATAGTTCGAACTTCTTCATTACTCACATGTTCTGTCCATGATATTTTCAGCATCTGCTTGTATTGCTTCAAATCTCATCTTACAGCAGTTTTTGTTTTGTCCTCAGAAAGTTTCTTTGCTTGAATATTGCTTTACATTCTCATGTACATCTCTTTTAAGGATAGTGAACAAGTTTTCACAGTTTTTTACTATTGGCGACTCCCATTGTTTTATAAATATCTTAACTGAGAATCAGTTTCTTTTTTCAAAGTGCATTGAGAAATAGAATGAAATTAATGTGAAATTTGTCACTTTTTTTCTAAGTTTATCAGTACTATTGAAAAAGGCTGAGTAGTCTTGTTGATCAGAGACTAAAAGCCAAATATTGATTTCTGTAATTTCTGTAATATGACCCAGCAGCAAAAGGGAAGGCTGCTTAGACTTAATATAAAAGGTATCAAGAATTCTCAGATGATAATCTGAATGTCCTTTGCTGATTTTGATTATTTTTAAAGCTTTAACAAAATGTTATTACATGCCCCCTCATCCTGCCACGTATCATTTGATTATTAGTCCTCCTATATGGTAGTGAATACTGGATGATCTACTCACAGCTGAAGAAGAGTCTTGAAACAACAGAAATGTGGTTCTATAAAAGGATGCTGAGAATACCATTGACCAAACATGTGAGCAATGACAAAGTTTTAGTGAAAATTGAAAAGAAAAAGACACTTATACTTAACACCAGAAAGAATGAGTTGAAATTTCTAGGGTACATAATGAGGAAAAAGGGCTTGGAAAAAGTGATACTCACAGGACAGATTGAAGGCAAGAGGGACAGAGGAAAGCAATGCATAACATCCCTTGTAAGATTAAATAAATGGATAGCAGAAAAAAGGTTTAGGAGAGACAACAAAAAGACAAAATTTATGAAGAGCTACAAAGGACAGGAAATTATGGAGTCCATGATACAGGATGGACATGGCACATAGTATAAGAAGAAGATACAATACACAACAGATGATTTACTCTTGAAATGCTTTGTAAATTAGTTTGCTATAAAATGCAGTCTTTATTTTTATCTATATTATTTACATGTGGACCCTAATCCTCATCTTTGATGTAATTATCGCAACATAGCATCATTTCATGACCATTGATAATCCTTTTTCTTATTTGCATTGTAAGGCTATAGTAAAATAATATTTATAAGGCACTTCCATATTAAAAATAACTTACAATGTCTATTTCTGTAGTAAATTATTTATACAATATTTACATTATTCGAACTATTGTCCTCATCTTTGTCATCATATCTATTACAACGTTTCGGCAGTTGTATGCTCCGGCCTTCTTCAGCTGGTTGGAATGTCAAACTGAATGCTTTATTTTGTTCATTGTGGTAGACTGTTCTAGTTCCACGTGCCATGTCTAATGGATGTCAGTTATCTCCTGTTAATTCCTCTCTCCAAGTTGTCCACTGCCTTAACCAGGTATTGAACTCACCCCTCTTTAAGTCCTGTCACTGGATATAACTAACGCTTTTATCCACTGTGCCATGTGTTGTAATAAATATGGCGACGAAGATGAGGACAATCATCCGAATAATGTAAATAGTGTACATAATACCTCATCTCAGAAATACAGGCAGATAAATTATTTATGATGTATTTATGATAAATAATTAGAATTTGTCTCTGTTGTAAATCACCAACAATGAATATCTAAATTAAAATTATTTCCAATGCATTTGTACAATAAAATAACTTAGAGTGCAATTTTACAGTAAAATACCTTAAAATGTATTTCTATAGTAAAACATTTTATAATACATTACTGTAATAATTTACAATGCATTCCTATATTCTATATTAATACATTTACAATGTATATATCTATAGTGAATAACTACAATGCATTTCTGCTTTAAATCACTTGCAATGCATTTCTAAAATAAAATTATTTCATTGCATTTGTACAATAAAATAATTTAAAGGGCAAATCTGCAATAAAATATTTAGAATTAAATTTAATAGTAAAATAATTATGATGTATTTCTGTAGTAAAAATAATTTACCATGTATTTCTACAGTAAATTATTTACAATGTATTTTTGGAGTAAATAATTATGATCTCTTTCTTTTGCAAATCACTTACAATGCATTTATAAAGTAAAATTATTTACAATGCCTTCTATAATAAAATAATTTCTATAATAAACTAACTTAAAATGCTTCATAGTTTCATTTTGTTTTGATTTATTTCCACATTTAAACATTTTTCATCCACTTGAGCAGCTTATTCACACAAACTACAGCTTTATGGAACTGACTCCCAAGAGGATGCTTCTCCAATCACTACAATCTTAATCTGTTCAAGTCTAGGGTCAACATTTATCTTAACTACAATTTTGTTTTTAATCATTTCACTCCAAGCAAGGCAATCCACTAAGACACAAGGCATTACTGAGGATGAAAGAATAAGAAAAAATAGAAACATGGTTAAGGAACGAGAACAATAAAAGAAGTTTATGACCCAACATGTCTTTCTCAACATCAGAATTGGCATTGGATTTTTACAATGTACCTGGGATTTCTTATTAAGAGTATATACCTGCTAACCTACAAAAGGGGTGGATTTAGCTAAGTCAGTTATTAGTTATCAGATTTTCAGTGAGGACTTTCTGGTATTTCTTTAGGTTTTTGTTTTTTTGTTTTTTTTTGTGGGGGTGAGTGTGATTTCAATATAAGATATTGATTTTTCTACCCTTTATCTTCTAAGCAAAAGGATTGGAAGAAATTTTATATATTTTTTTACTTCTTTTTTTTCTCTCTCTCATCCTCTCTCTATTCAACATCTTTGTCTCTTTCTGTTCTTTATAGATGGCAAGCAAATTTGCTCCCCTGACAGCCATTTTGCTTTTTCTGTCTCTACCCTAAGATAGTCTTTAAATCTTCTCCTTTTCACTATCTTCTCTTTCTTACTCCCCCCCTCTCTCTCTCTCTCTGTTACTCTCTCTTCCTTTTCATTTTATCTCTTCTCTAATTTGCTTATTAGGGTTTCTCTTTTTCTCTTTCCTCTTCTCTCTGTCTCTTGTTTCTGATTTTCTTTTCAAATATCTCTCTCACAATCTTCTCTTTCTTTCTTCTTTTCTGTGTGTCTGTTTGTCTGTCTGTCTCTCTCTCTTTTATTTGTTCTCTTTCCATCTCACCTCCACTGTCTTTTTCTTTCTTCTTTTCTGTTTCTCTCTTTTTTTATATGGTATCTTTTTATCTCTCTTTCACTGTCTTCTCTTCTTTTCTGTCTCTCTCTTTTATTTGGCCTCTTTTCATCTTTCTTTCATTATCTTCTCTTTCTTTCTTCTTTACTGTCTCTCTCTCTCTTTTATTTGGCCTGTTTCCATCTCTCTTTCACTATCTTTTCCGTTCATCTTTTCTGTCTTTCTCTCTTTTATCTGGTCTCTTTCCATCTCATTTTACCTCTTTTCTACTTCCTTTCCATTCCTGGTTTGTGAATTGTTCTTCATGCTTCTTCTTCTTCTTTTCCCTTTCTTTTTCTCTTTCAAATTTTGGTCACTTTATCTCTTCCTTGCACTCAAATTTTTCTTCTTCTAGCTTTTATTTCTTTTTCCTTTTCTCTTTCTCTTTTTTCTTTCTCCCTCTTGTCTTTTAAGCTTTCTTCTTTTTACCCTTTTTCTGTAATGTCAATTTTTCTCTTTCACTTTTATTTCTTTTGTCTCTTCAACTTCATTCACCCAAACTTTCTTCTTTTTCTTCTTCTGCTATGGAGGACTGATATTATAGAGCAGTTGTGTGCTTATTCTTTCTTTGTTTCTAATGAAATTTTCCTGATATTCTGCTTAGCTTTGGAAAGGCAATATTCTGAATATTAATGATTCTTCTCAAACTTATTGACCAAAAATATAAGAAATATTTTATTTGGGCACTTTTAATTGCATTGTTTTTTTTAATCATTTCATCCCAAGCCAAGGCAATAAAGCCACTAAGATGCAAGGGGTTACTGAGTGTGTGAGAATATGGGAAAAAAAGCAGGAGAGAGAACATTAAAAGAATAAAAATTAAGAAGACAGTAGAAAACAATTGAAATTGCATATAAATTTTTGAAGATCGATGTTGACTGGGAAGCAAGAAGCCAGAAGAGAGTTCAACAAGTGAGAAATGCAAGAGAAGAAACTGTTAACATAGAACTTACAGCTGCATCTAGCCATTTCAATTGTAAAAAGATGAGATCTTGCTGCCAATCTAGTACTGCACTTAAATTCATAAAGTCTAGGTACCAAAGAACAACATACATCAGAACAATTACCATGAAAGTATTTATAGAAAAGGCACAGAGAAGCTACAGTGTGGTAGTGGTAAAGTGACTGAAGCCGAGGTGACAGGTCAGGACCAATGACAATGCAGAATCTTCTTTGGATTTTCTCAAGAATATCTAAATATGTAGAAGGAGCATCAAACCAGGTGTGGCAGCAGTATTTAAAGCAAGGATGAATGGTAGACTTATAAATATGTAAGATAGATTCTGGCAAGAAAAATTATCTAGCATGACATAGGGAACCAATTTTCTAGCAGCTGATGTAGCAATTGATATAATCTTTTCATTTCATGTCAGTGGAAAACATTAGACCGAGAAGGTGCAATAAATCACCCTTCTGGAAGTTACCATCAGCCATGTTGATAAAAGGTAAAAAGAGTTCTCTCAGTTTTATTAAAAGAGAGCAGTTTTGTTTGGAAGACATTAAAATTAAATGGCTTGTCAATTTTAACACCTCCAAAACTAAATTGCTCTCAATTAATCATCTAAGAGACTCCTCTCTACTTTGCGTCCATCGCCAGAAAACTGCTAAGAAAGTTGGTTCACTGTGTTGATCAAGACATTTTTCTCTCTGAAATCTGTTTTGCATATTTATAAGTCTACTATTCATCCATGCTTAGAATATTGCTGCCATATATCATCTGGTGCCCCATCTATTTTCCTGGAGCTCCTCGATAAGATCCAAAGAAGAATCAGATATATTATTGGTCCTGATCTGGCAACTCAACTTTAGTCACTTGCCCACCACTGTAAGGTTGCCACTCTGTGCCCTTTTTTATAAATACTTTCAAGTTTGGATGAACTCTATGCTATGGTACTTTGTATAAATTTAAGTGCAATACTAGACTGGTGGTGAAATCCCATCAATTTACAGTTGAGCTAGCTAGATATAGCCATAACTTCTATGCTGATAGTTTCTTGTCCCACACTTCTCACTTGTGGAACTCTCTTCTGGCTTTATGCTTTCCAACTGTTGAGTTGTTGGGAGTGTTCCTACATGTGTGTATTTGAATAAAGACAAACACAGTTGTAGGGATAAATACTGGTATATTTGTAAGAGGTAATTAACAACAGAGTGATTAGTAATAAGGAACACCAGTTAATAAGTAACAATAGCAAAAGTCTACAGTCCAACGGTATGTAATGGTAACCTGATCTCAACTGCTGTCGCTGAACCTGATCCTTCACACAACTACTTTCTCTAGCACTGACTTATATCGTAGAGGGATCAGTCCATTATCAGTCAGAAGGTGGGTGCGCCCCAACACCCCACCCCTAAAAAATTGTTTTTTACATTGTGAAAAAAAAAATTTTTTTCTTCAATACCAACCAACTTTAATCTTTAAAAAATTAAGTGTAAAGTCAATCACTATCTATTGTTCTCCAGATTGCTCTTTTCTTTTTCCTAAATACTAATGTTTCTGTTCTTAATTCCTCCACACCCTGTAACCCCATGCGTGCTAGTGGTTCCACTGCCTTGCTTGGGTGATGCTGATTAAAAAAAAAAAAAAAATTTGCTTTATCAATGGAATATGTTAACACCACAGATTGAGTGAAGAGAGGAGGGATAGATTTACACTTATCTAAGATACTATTACAGAGCCATCAATAGTCACAAGAGCTAATCTTATTCAAAGCTATGAGGTATCTCATTCTATCTAAAAACAAAGACTTAGCTTCTTTCAGGACATGTCTACAATGTTACGAGCAGGCACAAATAGGTTTCTGCTGTGGTCAGAACTATTATGCTGGAACATACTGATTAAGTGATTCCTGTGGCCTATAGCAGCAGAACAGACTGGAGTAAATTATGGAGAAGATTGTGCCTTCAATTGGTATTTCCTAGAAGGAACAAAAGCATTAATTCCAGCTTTGTCCCAAGAAGAAACCTCTGTGGAATAATTCTCAATAGCAAGGTTAAGAATCTCAGACGAAGAAAGTCATGAAATGAATCCTAATCTGTATCCTGGTAGTAGAAAGAAGTCTTGTGAAGAGGAGATTTCTATTCTAATAGACAACCCAAAAGAAATATCAAAAGATGATTCGATTTGCCAAGGGGACAAAGTTGCAATGTTTGAGAAGAGCTTGGAGAGGAGGTAAGGAACAAATCAAGTAAAGAATAATGTTGATCAGATTTATTAGGAAAACTATTAAGCAAATCCACTATGAAATAAGTAAATGTCTAAAAAGTAATGGAATAAGTAAAAATCTAAATATCAGCTCCATCAGTACATTAGAATGCTTAATTCACTTGACGTGATAAGCATTAAGATCAAGCACAAAAATGTTTGCAGATGGATATATATAGAGAGAGCAATTTCTATATTATTAGAAATTTTGTTTAATATATTACAGTCCTGAGAAGAAGGAGAGCAATAAATGAAAAAGAGGTAACTAACAGAGTGCAATAGGGAAAGTCAGAAGCACATGTCTGATCAGAGTGCTCAAGAGACAATTCCCTTGCCATTGGAAGATTTTCCTGGATATAAATACCAATGCCATGCATATGTATGCTAGAATCTTCTTCACACTGATGAGGATAGCCTGGAACAGAGAATTCATTGGTAGCTATAGAAGAATTTCAGTTAGTTTCACAAAGTGCAAAGATATTTTAAGAACATAGTTGAATTTTTTTACTGGTTTACTCTAATTTCTTTTCAATCTGTCAGTCATGATAGTTTTTAAGAAGACATAGACCAAATTAATTATCACTATCTATCATCAATGGCAATACAAACTGACCAGAAGAGGGCTAAGATTGTTGCATGATGTGACCTCAGTGATGGCCACCAGAAATACATGCAGGGACACCTACCCATGCATGGTACGGTGCCAAAAACCTTGTTAATATGCAAGTGTTGATCAGAGTAGTCTATCTAAGCATTACCAATGAGTATGAAAAATATAAGTTATCTCCTTTTGGTAGATAACTCCTGCTGATAATAAGAAGAGTCTATTATAAACTGGTGATAATGGTATGACCAAAATTAGGTGTGAAATAGGACTTGAACGCCAATTGCAGATGCCAAGAAGAACACAGAGTGAAGAGGCATGTTACTGCTAACTCTCAGAACAGGCAATGCTGGCCATGAGCTAACCTGAATAATGCAAGGACAAAGCAGCTAATAGAAGCAAAATATGAACACCATTCAGATAGTTGTTTCATCTATTTCAAACAGGAATGTATTTGGATCTCATCCTTCATGCTTTGACATTTAACTGCTAAAAAAATACATTTTTAGCAATCCTCTATTCTCTTTCTCGTTATGTAATGCGTTTCTTGTATAAAGTATGTTTTTTCAATATTCACTTGTCTCATCAAGCAATGTCCCAGTTTTGGGTTGTTAAATTTCCCACAAGAACTTGGTTTCCTTACAGCTAGTCAAATGTGACAACTAGAAAACTGTCAACCCAGTAACTTCATACTGATCAGTCAGATCACCAAAACATTAAGAAAATTAAATCATTAGAGCCATGGAAGAAAAAAGAAGCAGTAAAACATATCCTAACCAAGAAACAAGGAATATACCTCTACTCCTGTTCAATAAATATGTAATGAGTGCTGGCTGGGCAGTAGGT